GTAACCATTATCGCATTTGAAACATCAGTGTCACAGTGTTCAGCATCACAGCAACCACGAGTTACCTGTGTACAGCAAATGGACAGATCAATGCTATACCACTTAAATATTAGATATGTTAGACACTTAGACATTAGATATTAGTTTGGAAATATCATACAGCAGGTGTTTCAACTCACTTTCTGACCTTTATGTTACAGACTTTTGAAAGAACCAAGGTTAAACACCACAGTGAAACAAAGGCTAGAATGTAATTTTCCCCTGCTGCTGTCTTCCTGTATAGCAATAAAAACTCATCCTTTCTCTAGGTGACCTCCTATTATCTTCTGGTAGCTGGAGGCAGGTCATTTCCTCATAGAAACCTAGTTAGGGTTCTTTTCCCCTGACTTACACTCTTTAAAAAAAATCCTCTTCAACTGATAATTGCTAAAAAAATATGTAAAAGGATTCCAGACACCTTGATTTAAAGAACCTGACCTAGAAAAGGCCATATGACCACCAAGGTTTAGCTGTGAAAATAAGGAATGCTGAATCATGCTGTTTCCAAGAGGCAACTCTACCACACACTCATTTCCAGGTTAAGCTCATTTTATCCAAGTTTGTGTGTCTGCTTGTTTCTTAAGCTAGGTAATTGTACAGGCTTGTAGAGGGTTAAAGGACTTCATCTTCACTAATGAATTTCTCATATAATGGCTCATCCAGTCATAATCTCCCAAACACAAAAACTAATTATGATAAAAAGCCTCATAGACTTCAATTATCCTTTAACGTACTTCACTCAGTCATCCAAAAAACCCACTAACTGATTGACTGCAGGCCATGTGTGCCAGCTACAGAGCACACATCTGAGAAATGCCAAGTCTTGGGTACAGAAGGCAAGATGAAACTTAACAATAAACAAATTACAATTTCAAAAACATGCCAAAAGTCAATTGCCATAAAGTGAATTCCAACTCATGATGCTTCCACGTGTTGCAGTATAGAACTATGCTCTTCAAGACTTTCAAGTTCTGCAATTGCTCACAAGGCAGATTGCCAGGTCTTTCTTTTGAGGCACTTGAGTGGATTCAGACTGCTAATCTTTTAGCTAGTAGTCAATTGCTTAACTATTTGTGTCCCTGAAACAACCAGAACAAACCAAAAACATTGCCATCAATTTGGAACCAATGTGTAGCTAACCCTCCAGTGAGTTTTCTGAGTCACGTAAAAGGAAAATTCTTCTTTGGAAAAGCTAGTGAATTCAAACAGCCTGCCTCTGGGTTGGCAGTGCACCTCCTTACCCACTAGTCTGCCAGTGATCTCTTTTGTGCACCTAGGGAGTTCTAAAACATGATATACACCAAAAACCCTAAAGCCACTGAATTGATTCCAACTCATAGCAATGCTCTAGGGCAGAACAGAACTGCTCATTGGGTTTTGAGGAGAATTGTGGCATCAGGATTGGTGGAAGATCTATTAATAATCTGCGTTATGCAGATGACACAACCCTGCTTGCTGAAACTGAGGAGGACCTCATGCATTTGCTGCGGAGGGTCAAGGACTGCAGCCTTCAGTATGGTCTGAGGCTCAATGTCAAGAAGACAAAGATTCTCACCACTGGACCAATTGGCAGTGTCAGGATGGATGGCGAAGAGATTGAGATTGTTCACAGCTTCAGTTTGCTCGGCTCCACAGTCAACACTCTTGGCACCAGCAGTCAGGAAATCAAAAAGCGTATCGCGATGGGAAAGTCTGCTGTTAGGGACCTCTCTAAAGTACTCAAGAGCAACGGTGTCTCTCTGGAGACTAAGGTGCGCCTGATACAGGCCATGGTCTTTGCAATCGCTTGTTATGCATCAGAGAGTTGGACAATGACTAGGGAGGACAGAAGGAGAGTTGATCCCTTTGAACTGTGGTGCTGAAGAAGAGTATTGAATGTACCATGGACTGCCAGGAAAGCAAACAGATTAATCTCAGAGAGGATTAAACCAAGCTCCTCCTTGGAGGCAAGTATTCTGGGGCTTCGTCTGACATACTTTGGACATGTTGCCAGGTGGGACGGTTCCTTGGAGAGGGACATCATGCTTGGGAGGGTGGGGGGACAGCACAGGAGGGGACGACCCTCTATGAGATGGATTGATTCGGTGACTGGGGTAATCGGGATGGGTGTGCCAGAGGCAGTGTGGTTGGAGCAGGATAGAGCAGGGTTTAGGGCTGTTATGCATAAGGTCGCTATGAGTCGCAAATGACTCGACAGCACATAACAACAACAACAACAACAAATCTTTAAGAAAGCTGATTGTCTCATCTTTTTCCTGATGAGTGGCTGGTGGGTTTGAGCCACTGAATCCTTAAAATACAATAAATGCTATTTTTAAAGGTATGCATGCCACTTGGCAACAAATGAAAGACAGGGATTGATTGTGGCAGAGAAGGGAGCTTAAGAAAGTCTTTGTAGAGAAGAATAGCACAAGGGCTGCACTTGAAGTTCACCACATAGGATACATTAGACAAGATGGGCATTTCACGTAGGGAGAATTTTATCAAAAGGCTCAAAGTCACAGAAAGGCAAGAAGAGTAGGTTTGTGGGAGTTGTGTTTTCTGTGACTGAAAAATAAAATGAGAAGGAAATATAAAATTCACTTAATAAAACAAAAAATTTGTTTCCAATTTATCCTTTGATCTGACACATAACTGTCTAGAATTTTGTTTTGTTTTAAAAACCCCATCAACTTCTCCTCTAAAAATTCTGTTCGTGAATAGAAAGAAATACACATAAATTCCAGTGACGTTTTAAGACACTAAACAAAAGGGTTTAAATGTTTTGGCAGCATTAGAATTCCATGTACTTGCTTTTCTGGGCCTAATTCTTTAAAAATGAAGCTTTAGAAACACAAGAGAAAGCATTTTCCTACTTTTTACAGAGACTTAGTGTTGGATCTACAGTAGGAACACTATGTGACATTTTGGTAAGTGTATCTCAAAAGACATTCCAAACCCAATGCCATTGAGTTGATGCCTATTCATTGCAAGCCGATGGGATAGAGCTGAACATGGGGGAGGGAAGATATTACAAACTACTAAAGAGGACAACAGGTTGTTGTTGTTGTTATGTGCCGTCAAGTCGCCTGTGACTCACAGCAGCCCTGTGTACAGCAGCTCTGAAGCTTGCCCTGTCCTAAGCCAGTTTCACTGACTCTTACACACCTACCTCCATTACCCCAGTTAATGTATCAATCCATCTCATCTGAGGTTTTCCTCTCCTGCACTGTTCTGCCACCCTTCCAAGAATGATGTCCTTCTCCAAGAATTGGTCTCTCCTGGCCATGTATGTGCCCAAAGTATGTGAGACGGAGCTTCAAAATCCTAGTCTTCAAGGAGAAACTTGGTTTCACCCTCTCTGAGACAGATCTATTTGTTTTCTAGGCAGTACATGGTATGTTCAAGACTCTTCTCCCATAAAACTCAAAGGCATCAGTTTTTCTTCTGTCATCCTTAGTCATGTCCAGCTCTCTGATGCACAGCAAGTGATTGCAAAGACCATGGCCAGGACAACAGGAGGGGGGGCGGGGAAGGAGGAGAGGAACAGCAAACAAACTGACCCTGGGTATGAAAGAAGGGCTATAATAAGAACTTGTTGATCTGAATCCATAAAATACAGCAGAATATCATGTAAGCATGGTACAAAACCAAGGACTTTCACAACTGGAGGAAACTTCATGCTTTTACAAATTGGAAACTTGAGATTCAAAGATACAGAGTGATTATGAAAAGCAAAGTCAAAATAACTTGTTAGCAGAAAAGAACCCACTTCTTTAGATTTCCTGCCCAGGACTCTAGCTCTCCATTAACTGAAAGTTTTAAGTAATCAAAGATAGGGATGACTGAAAAATACACTGCTTGAGACAAAATGTAAAACACCTAATGGTTGTAAAATATTTCTGCAATACCTATACAATCTAATATTACTTACAAAGTGTTTAGATATACTTACGGATGAAAGATCTCTAACAAATATGCACGTTGAAACAGATCAATTTAAAAATTTCATTTGTAAATTGCTCAGAATTTAGAAGGCTTTCCCCCAAAGTAACAAATTACGAGTCTACTTAACAAGGTGTGGTGGAAATAATATGAATGGTATTTCATGAAACACGCCTTGTGCGGATGTTTATCTCCAGGGGAAAGCCGAAGAGATGCACACAGGCGAGCCAAGGAAGGCTTCTGCTAACATTAAGGATAGTTACAAACATATAAAAATCATAATGAACCTTTTAAAGTCAAGATCACCAGAGCTTACATAAAAAGAACTGTCTTGGAAACAGCAATGATCAGTGAAGCGAACATGGTCTGTACCTGAAATCGTGGCTTTTCTGAAATTAAAACCCAACAGTTTCAAAGGAAGGAGGATGGGGTAAAGAAAAATCCATACAGGTTAGAGAAAAAAATCTACTCTTAAAAACCTATTCAAGTTAGAGAAAAATCTACTCTTTCATCTAGCATTTGGCAAGGGACTCTAGTGGTTTTCAAATTTTTGCCCACAGGTAGGTTGCAAGTTAAGGAACTATATCCTAGGTAATGCACTACTGATGCGTAGACACGCCTGGAAAACTTTTCCGAACCTTAGATCTTAGGGGCAATGTTCTTAGTTCCATGAGGGTTTTTATAAATCTCAGAGTCTGAACTGACTGGGCATCAAGGCAAGCAGAATTTGCAGACTTGGGGAGGCAGCTGATTTTCCTCGGACATCCAGGTAGCTTCAGGTGAATTTTTTTCTCACAGAACAAAGTGCTCTAAAAAAAAATCAAACCACGTCTCAGGGCAGATGGTGGTGCTCAGAGAAAGCTATTAAGGTGAAGAGCTTTGTCCAACCCAAAGACATATACGGGGCGGGGGGGGGCCTGCTGCTTTGGGGAATCCCCCAAAGAGACTTGGCTAAGGGAGGCCGGGCCGAGCGCGCCACCTGGCCGCCCTGGGGGCGTCAGCGCGCCTCCCCGCCCTCTGGGACCCGCCTCGCTCACCGAGGTGGCCGCCGACGACCGTGACTGCGATCTGGTCCATGAGCACCGCCCGGAAGCGCACGTCCTGCTCGGAGCAGCGCTGCCGAAGGGCGCGCAGGATCTGCACCTGCGGGTAGTCCTCGCGGATCCGGCGGTCGGTCAGGAACCAGAGCTGGGAGCACATGGCGGTG